AGATCTGTGGACCAAAGATAGATAGATGCCCCAACATTTCAGAGGAACCTTGGGTGACTGTCCAGGCAGCCAGCTGTTCCTGTCATTTCTCATTGCTCTGCACTTCGTGTTTACTCAGGTAATACTATATCCTTCTCAGGTCTTTGATGGGGTCAAAGACTAGATAGATATATTACGGTTTTCCTTAGTCATGATAGAAAATTAGGTACAAAACTTTGTACTTATCAAGATAGACTAGATAACAGTATTTTTTTCTGAATTTGCCAAGTACAAATAGACTGGACATTGTGGACATAATTCTCATCTGATAATTTTCTTTTTGTTTTTGTTTTTGTTTTTGTTTTTCGAGACAGGGTTTCTCTGTGTAGCTTTGTGCCTTTCCTGGATCTCGCTCTGTAGCCCAGGCTGGCCTCGAACTCACAAAGATCCACCTGCCTCTGCCTCCAAAGTGCTGGGATTAAAGGCGTGCGCCACCACCGCCTGGCTGCTGTGTTGTTTTTATGAGCTGGCAGCCCAAATAAAAATCCATCTAATGTATATATGTGTGTGTGTTCATGTGTCCATGTGCACTGTGTGACAGTCAGTCTCCTGCCAGCTCTGCTATAAATAGCATCTCTCATAGGGGCTGTGACAATAACAGTTACCCCAGGTTACTTCTCAGGGACCTGAAGATCACTCTTGTCAAGACCACTGACCCTTGACCTGGGCATTCACAGGGGTCCTGTGAAGAGCTGTGGAGGATGCATGCACAGAGCACAGGGTATCCCCAGTCACCTTTGCCCACACCTTCAATTCCCAGCTTCTCAATTCTATGCACACACGAGGGCTTATTCTGGGGGAAGCATTGGAGAGCTGGGTCTTCTGCTTCCATGCTTGGCTGCCTGGCCAACACAATCTTGCAAAACCTGTTTCAGTTACTAGAATACTGCACAGTAGGCAAAATTAGCCTGGCTCAAGTGGCATTGTCATGGGGGATAAATTGTTCTTCTTGCTAACTAACACTGGTGGCATTTGGAGCAATTCTCCAGAAGCAAGCACAACTGTGTTTCCACCTGAGAACATTATTATTTTTTATTTCTTATTTTTTTATTTTATTTTTTTTCCCGGAGCTGAGGACCAAACCCAGGGCCTTGTGCTTGCTAGGCAAGTGCTCTACCACTCTAAATCTCCAACCCAAACTTTTTATTTTTATCTTATTTATTCATTAAAGAATTTTTATGTTGTGTGTCTAACATGTGCAGGTATGTATGCTTGGACCCATGCAAGTGTCCTCCTCCATAGGGTTTCTCACTGAACCTGGAGTTTGATGTTTTCAGCCAGACTGGTGGCCACTGAATAAGTGAGCCTCCTGTCCCCATGCCTTGTAGCACTGGGCTTATAGTTTGCATGTAGTTATGCCTGGTTTTGTCTCCACAATTGCTGGGGATTTGAACTTGGGTCCTCATGCTCACACAGCAAGCTCTCTTCCTCACTGTGCCATCTCACCCTCCCCAGAAAGAACTTTTTACAAGAAAAAATAAAGCCTGTGAATAAGGTTGAGGTGTGGCTTGGTGATAGAGCCCAACATTTGTAAATCCCTGAGCTCCATCCTCAGCACCTAAAAAAAAAAAAAACAAAAAACAATAAAACCTTTACACAGACTCCACACAGTCAATTTTGTACCACATGGGTTTAATACAAATTTACCAAAAAGTCTTTGGTGTTCAGAGCTTCAGAATGGTACACAAATGGTCTCACATCACATATCTACAGAGGAGGATGCAGAGACTTGGAACAATGGCATGTCCATCACAATGTCACACGCGTGCTCTGTGTCCATCTGCAATTGCAGGCACTGGGAGGTGGGGAGAAGAATAGATCCCCAACTTTCTCTTGGAAAGCTGATGTTTTGCACAAAACTACACCGGAATGTCTGTCCTTAACAGTCCCAGAGGGTGAGGACCCGAAATGCCAACACAGATGAATGATGGCTGCCTTGTGCTAACAGTGCATGAAGAAGAATGGGGTGCCAATGCTGCAACCCGGATGAATTCGAAAGAAGCCAGACAGAGCAGCCTACATACTGGAAAATTCCAGTTATAGAAACATCCAGGATAGGCAGGCGGAGTGACCCACTCCCAACAGCACTCAGGAGGCAGGCAGGAGAATCAAGAATCATAAACCAGCCCAGGCCGCACAGTGGCACCTTTGTCTGAAGAGGGAGGGTGTTGGGGTAGCTCAGTGCTAGAGCACTTACTGACCTGCTCACGACTCGGGGTTCTGCTCCAGCTGGACACCCAGCCAACTGGTGGCTGCCAGTTTGTGGAGGAAATGGGGGAGACCTGGCAAACGTGGTGGTGAGCCAGCTGTAAGCTTGACAGTGGTGCCAGCTGGATTCTGAGCACACTCAACACTTTGTTTTTATGGTGCTGGCAATCTAACCTGGAAACTGGCACCAATGAGCATACTCAACTGCTTCTGACGTGTGCACTGTAAGTGGACGAGTTATGAGACGTGAATTCTGCCAGTGGGATGGTTAAGTTCTTTCTGATAAATAAACGTTCTTGGAGTAGGGCACTGGGCTTTTGTTGTTGTTTTGTTTCTTGTTTGGTTTTTTGTTTTGTAACTTGAATTCTAAATTGGTCTTTTTTTTTTTTTTTGGTTTTTTCGAGACAGGGTTTCTCTGTGTAGCTTTGTGCCTTTCCTGGAACTCACTTGGTAGCCCAGGCTGGCCTCGAACTCACAGAGATCCGCCGGCCTCTGCCTCCCGAGTGCTGGGATTAAAGGTGTGCGCCACCACCGCCCGGCCTAAATTGGTCTTTTAATAAAAAATCCGGAGCCAGATATTGGGGTAAATGCTGAAAGATCAGAGAGACAAAAAGAACAAGCCACAGCTGAGTCTCACCTCGCCAACTCCACGAATCCTCTGACTGAATGTCTCTGAGTCCTCAGTCAAAAGCTCTCCAGCCAAAAAGCCTTTAGTTCCTGTCTCCTCACGCCTTATATACCTTTCTCCACCCAGCCATCACTTCTTTCCTAGTGCTGGGACTAATGGAGTGTGTGTTTCCCAAATACTGGGATTAAAGGTGTGAGGTCTCAGCCGGGCGGTGGTGGCGCACGCCTTTAATCCCAGCACTCGGGAGGCAGAGGCCGGCGGATCTCTGTGAGTTCGAGGCCAGCCTGGTCTACAAAGCGAGTTCCAGGAAAGGTGCAAAACTACACAGAGAAACCCTGTCTCAAAAAAACAAAAACAAAAAAAAAAAAAAAAAAAAAGGTGTGAGGTCTCAAGTGCCGGGATTAAAGGTGTGTGACTCCCAAGTATTGGGATTAAAGGTGTGTGCCACCATTGCCTGGCTCTGTTTTTCTCGTAGACTGAGTCAATCTCATGTAGTCCAGGGTGGCTTTGAACTCATGGAGATCCAGACGGATCTCTGCCTCCTGAGTGCTAGGATTAAATGTGTGTGCCACCACTGCCTGGCCTCTATGTTTAATCTAGTGGCTTGTTCTGTTCTCTGATTTTCAGGCAAATTTTATTAGGATACACAATATATCACCACATGTTTTGTTTTGTTTTTCGAGACAGGGTTTCTTTGTGTAGCCTTGGCTATCCTAGAACTAACTCTATAGACCAGGCTAGCCTCAAACTCATAGAAATATGCCTGCCTCTGCCTCCTAAGTGCTGGGATTAAAGGCGTATGCTACCACCCAGCTAGGCTTCTTCTTTTTTTTTTTTTTTTTTTGGAGCTGAGGACCGAACCCAGGGCCTTGTGCTTGCTAGGCAAGCGCTCCACCACTGAGCTAAATCCCCAACCCCTAGGCTTCTTTTTTAAATATCTCAATCTTTTTGTAAACTTGTATTATTTATTGACTGATTTCTTTTGTTAGATCTCTCTCTCTCTCTGTCTTCCTGTTTACCTTAAGGAAAATGCAGATGTGTTTATAGAGGTTGGTAAGTGAAAAACTTGCAGGTAGACTATGGGCCGGCTGGTGATCCTGAAACAGCTGTTTGCTGTTCAGTCACTGACCATTTCCTTGCCGGAGGTCAGTTATTATTTTGTTCTATTGAATCTTTCTACTGATTTTGTGAGGCCCACCCACATTGTGGAGCACAATCTCCAGTTTTAAATGTTCAGAAGACCCAAGCATAGCCTCACAGAAACATCCAGAATAATGATGATCATATATTTGCATACCATAGTTTCACCCATTTGACACACAAAATTAGCCTTGGAAGATTCTCTCCCTGACTTTGAAACTCCTCTTCCTTGAGGGGAGGCTTCCTGCCTCCACCTCCTCCCCCTGACTTCAGCCTTTCCGAACTCTGTTCTGGCCAGCCCAGCCTCTCTGCTCCTCTTAGAGGGCGTGTTCTGAATGGTCTAGCTGCTTCTTTCAAGGGCAAGCAGGGCCACTTGTGCAGTTTCTGGCCCCACCTCTTTCCCTGCTTCCTTCACTCACATAGCCCATTGCCTTCCCACCTAGCTTCCTCTTGTAACTCCACCCCAGAGCTCAGAACAGAAGGGAAGGCTTCCTGCCCTCCTGTGGAATTGCTGAGTCTCCCAGCTCTTCTCATCCTCTATCTCTCCCTGTTTGCCTGCTGCCTTGGTCTATTTTCTGTTGCCATCACAAAATATCTGAAGCTGTGTAACTTATGAAAAAAAATAGAAGTTTATTTAGCTCATGGTTCTGGAGGCTGAGAATTCCAAGAACATGGTGCTGACTTGTATTTGGCATCTGGCAAGGGTCTTCTTGCTGTGTCGTAACTCAGTGGAGCCAGAGCAAGCTTTCTGGAGAGAGCTTGCACTTATAACATAACCACCCTCCATAGTCCATTAATCCATTAGTCCAATGGACGGGTCGATTTTTTTTTTTTTCACTCTCCAAAGGCTCTTTCTCCAAGTACCATTAACATATGAGAATGAGGATCAAGTTTCTAACATATGAATTGCAAGGAATGGGAGGTCAGAGGACAGAGGGCCAGGGCACCCCAGCAGGTGCCCACCTTTTACACCCAGTGCATTAAGAGTGGTCTCTAACCAGACCAGTGGTGCAAACTGTAACCTCAACGCTCAAGAAGCTGCAGCCAGAGGATTGTGTTTGAGATTAGCCTTGGCTACACACACAGTAAGAACCTATCTCAAAAGCACAAAAAGAAGACAAACAAACCCCCCTGACCTTCTCCCTTTAATTTCCTGTCTCCTGTCTCCAGGGCGGAGGTCCTTTCCAGAATGTGCAGGTTACTTTGTGAGTGGGTGCCTCTTAGATCTTGCTGGCTGTAGCTCCTTCCCTTCACTCACACAGGGAGCTGTGTTGGGGCCAGGAAAGTTGCCAGGAAACCTGAAGTCAAATAGAGGAGAAGAAAGGACTAGAGGCCCTGGGGGCATGAACAGATGGCCCAGGAGTCAGCGGTCCACTGTAGGAGCAGATCACACAGGACCTCCATGCCATGGTAAGACTCAGCACGTGTGGAAGGCAGGCTTGGCAGCTGGGAGCCCCTCTGCGAGTTACTCTCGTTGCATTTGGAGCTGATGGGTGGCGTGTTGGCCCCTGCAGGGATGCACTGGATTTGTCTGAGACAGCATGGCACTGGGGATGCGGACAGCTGGTCGTGGCTGGACCGCTGCTGCTGTCTTGGAGGCTGCCTGATGCCAAGTTTAGCAGCATTTATTGTTGCTGGGGGGAGGGGCTCACGCCTCTCTCCATTAACAGGGTCTACAGATGTGGCCAAACGTCCCAGGATGGAGAAGGACAAAATTACTCTAGTTGAGAGGAACACTGCACTGGCGTCCCACGAAGGCTCCCCTACCGTAGCACCTGGGCCTGTGGTAGGTCAGGAGGCAGCCAGCTGTGCATTTGGGAGAGCAAATGTCCCCAGGCAGGAGGGCCAGGTTGCCGCAGATGCCAGGAGACAACCTTGGGAGTCCTGGCTTTCGAGCTGGGGTGAGGGACTGGTTCTCCCCAGTTGCTGAAGAAAGTCGTTGGAGGGTTGTTGTAATCATGGTAGTGATGGGATTGAGCCGAAGGAAGAGGGTCAGACACCATCTTGACTGTGGTGGTGGCTCTGTGGGCAAGCCTCTATATCTGAATCTGTGTTCTTAGCTTTGGCGACTGTACGACAGTTGTTTATAAAAATGCAAGAAGCTAGCTGGGCGGCGGTGGCACACGACTTTAATCCCAGCACTCGGGAGGCAGAGCCAGGTGGATCTGAGTTCCAGGCCAGCCTGGTCTACAGAGCGAGCTCTAGGACAGGCACCAAAATTAAACGGAGAAACCCTGTCTCGAAAAACAAAACAAAGCAAACAAACAAACAAAAATGCAAGAAGCTGGATGTTACACAGAATCAGGGCTGTGTCCGCAGAGGATTGGTGGTAGAGGGGCAGAGAGGGTGTTGTGGGGTGGTGGGATGCTGACGTGGCCCTATCAGAGACTCTTGAGAGGCAAACAGTTGGGACTGACAATGCTGTATAAGGGCCAGGGCTGGGCTGTGCACGTGGCCTGCTGAGATTGTCATCCCAGGTAGTTCCAACTCCAAAGCTTCATTAGCCGAGAACCAGGAAGGCCAGGAACGGCCATGGCAAGAGCTCTTCCCTGGTGTGCTCGCTCCATCACTCTGGACACACAGGGTTGCACCTAAGAGCTTTTATTTACTTTCACGATTTACTCCTATTCATGGGTGCGTGTGAATGCTTGCATGTATATATGAGCACCATGTGCTTGCCTGGTGCCCTTAGAGGCCAAAAATGAGTGTCCATTCCCCTGGGACTGGAGTTACAGATGATTGTGAGCTGCCATGTGGGTGTTGGAAACTGAACCTGGGTTCTCTGAAAGAGCAGCCACTTCTCTTAACTACTAAGCATTGCTCCAGCCCTACTTAAGAGGTTTCTAAAATTTGATTCACCTCAAAAGCAAGACTCAATTTAAGAATATTTATTTGGGGGCTGAAGAGATAGGTCAGTGGTTAAGAACACTGGCTGCTCTTCCAGAGGTCCCAGCACCCACATGGCAGCTCACAACCGCCTGTAATTCTAGTCTCCTGGGCCCTGACTCCCTCTTCTGGCCTCCTTGGGTACTGCTTGTATGTGGTGTACATGTACACATGCAGGCAAAACACCCATACATATAAAATTAACATAAAAATGTAGCAGGAATCTTAACAGTTCTTATTAATAAAATCAAACCTGAGGCCAGTTATTGGGGTGAATGCTGGAAGATAAGTTTATTAGGGTACACAATATTTTGGGGAACACAATACCACCACATTTCCTCTCTTTTTGTGTAAAATTTAAAAAAGCTTATAACTAATACAAGAAAAACTATCCAATAAGTATATACAATATCTACAGTCAAGAGTTACATTAACAATGTCTAGTCCATTAACATTTGACAGATTCAGATAAAAAACTCCATTATATATTAACAATGTCCAGTCCAGTAACATTTGATAAACTCAGACAAAAAATTTCATTACTTATCTTATTTAAAACAAGTAGTTCCTTTTTTAAAGTATTTTTCTTTTCATAATAGATTCAGTAATCTACCTTTTGTCATTTTTATATCTTCCCCTTTTTCTTTTTAGTGTAGATTTAATTATCTACCCATTTATCTTATTATTTCTTTATCTTTTTTCTCAGAGTAGATTCATATCTATATTCTCTTTTTTCTTTTTCCTTTTTTTTTAAAACAAAACCTCTGAATCTAATCTCCATGTTCAGCTTTTTTCCTGACCATTAACAATTAACCTAAAATTTTTCTTTTCAGAATAACGATACCTTCGCCCATACCCAGCAGGAAGCAATTTTAAGAATACAACACCCACATTCCCAAAGAGGTGGGGTGGGGTGGGTGGGTGGTTTTTTGGTCTTTTAATGGGTTTGGGGTCTGGGATAATTTTCATTGTTTGGGAGGGTTGGTTACAAGTTGTTGGCAAGGGTTAGGAAAAGGGCTAAGCAAAGGAGATTAGATTTAAGGTTCTTGTTTAAAAAAAAAGAAAGAAAAGAAAAAGAAAAAGACAATTACTAGTTTTAAATACTTTACATTGGATTGGATTTTTTATATTGTATACAAATTATATATATTGAGATTGATATTGTTAGAAAAAGCCATACATATATTTCTAATCTTGTTCAAGATATTGTACTTATACAGTTCATTTAACAATGTAGTGCAAATTGCTGATTCTTGAATGTTATTATTACCAACTATTAGGATATAAGAAATGAAAGTTAGTAGTTACACATTACAATAGAACTTGTAGTCATATTAGGTATGTTTTCAAGATTGAGCAGATATATTTTAGATAGACAGGTCATCTTCAAACCCTTCAGAGATCTACAGAATATGGCATTTAAAATGTTTTAATAACTTAGAAAATTTTTCTTTTTTGTTATGACTATGAGATATGTTGGCTCCTGGCAGTATCAATCTACTTCAGAGAAAATATGGGCATGGAAGAAACTGCATATGGAGTTAACTTTCAATGTGGCAAAAGTTAGCCACTGGACAACAAAGTATCCTCGAATCAACTGCTGACAAACAGGACAAAATGGACAGACAGGACATGAAACAAAAGACTACCGATTCTTGCCAAGACAAGTGTGGTTGTGGCTTTATCAAAAGGCATCTTCTGAGGCCAGGACAATATGGCATCATCCCTGAAGTGGCCTTCACAATCCGGAAAAGGTACAGTGCCCTTTTCTTCGAAGGCAGCTGGACAGGCAATGGGCCAATGGCTTCTGAGGTGCAGTGGAACAGCAGCTGAAATAGTTATTCTTGAAGAGTAACTAAGCTCACATCTCTCAATAGTAGACTGGCATTTAATAGAGGGATGTGGAGAAGAACGGGATGCTGAGATAAAGCCACATACACACATAGCCAAGAAGAATGGACAGCTGAATTCAAAAAACATCAACAATTTCCAGAATTTAAAATCCTGAATCATGACATGACACTAGTGGAATTCAGGTGTTTCCGGTACATGGACTGCTCTAACCCAATGTGAGGTTGAACTGTTGACCTTGTGTACATCCTACTTCACAAATGAGTCTGTCAGATACGCTAAGCCTATAGGCTGAAGATGATGCCCCAACACTGTGGAGAAACCTTGGGTGACTGTCCAGGCAGCTGGCTGTTTCTGTCAATTCACGTTTTTTTTGGAAGTTGCTTGTATGCACTTCCTGTTTTTATTTTTGTTAGGTAATATTATTTCCTTCTTGTGTCTCTGAGGGAGTTGAAGATTAGTTAGTTAGAGTTGAAGATTAGTCAGTTAGAGTTGAAGATTAGTTAGGATAGAAAGTGAATTAAGTACATTTTGGACTTACCAAAATAGGATAGATAATGGAATTATTTTCTCTGAATTTGTCAAATACAAATGGACTAGACACTGTTTAGGTATTTATTGCTTGTATATATGGTATATAGTTATTGTACTTTTGTATATAGTTTTTCTTATAACTTTTTCCTTTTTTCTTTTTATTAAAATAGAAAAGGGGAAATATGGTGATATTTTAATTGTACTGAAATGTGATTTTATTTGTATATTAATAAATAAAGTTGCCTGGTGGTCAGAGCTAATAGCAAGCCATAGCAGAAGCTGGGCGGTGGTGGTGCACGCCTTTAATCCCAGCTCTTGGGGGGCAGAGCTAGGTAGATCTCTGTGTGTTCAAGGATACAGCCAGCATGGAGACACATGCCTTTAATCTCAATACCAACCATAGAAGACCTGGAGGTCTGTACAGACAGGCAGTGATGAGGAGGTCATGTGGTTGGGTTTACAACCAATGAGAAGGCAGAACAGAAAGTCTATAAGAAGACAGACACACAAGAAGTAGTTCTCTGGCTGAGGAGGACAGCAGCGGCAGTGAAGGGTAAGGATTTTAGCTCTTAGCTATTGCTCTGACCTCTTGGGCTTTCATCTCTGCATTGGCTCTGTGTTTCTTATTTAACAAGACGGTTACATCTACATAAAAAGGAAAATATTTATTTTATTTTCTCTCAATGCCTTGAGCACGCTAGGCAAGTGATCTATCTGCTTCTCAATTGCATTCCTGCTGGGGTGTGGTGCATGAGTGTGTGTGTGGTGCATGAATGTGTGCATTTGGGTGTGTGGGAGGGCTGTGAAGCTCAGAGGTCAATTTTTGGTGTCTCTCTGTTGCCCTCTGTCACTATCTAGTTTCCTTCTTTTATGTAGTATTTTGTGTGTGTGGCTGAGGTGGGGAGGGGCACTTGTGTGGAGGTCAGAAGACTGCATGGTGGTCTTAGTTGCTTCCTTACACCTTTATGTGATCTCCAAAACTGAATAATTCTGGTCATCAGGTTTTGCAGCAAGGTTTGTTTTGTTTTGTTTTGTTTTGTTTTAACCTAAAGAGTCGTTTTGTCAGCCTCCTTCTCCTTATTTCCAGAGACAGAGTCTCTCACTGAGCCTGGAGCTCACTAATTCTGCTAGGCTGGCTGACTGGGCAAGTCCCTAGGATCCCCTGTCTCTGCCACTCAGTGCTGGGATTACTGGAGCGCACTGCCCCACCCCACTCTTTTAGGTGAGTACTGGGGAACTGAACTCAGCTCTTCATGCTCACACAGCAAGCAATTTACCCACTAAGCCATCTCCTCATTCCCCAGCTTACAAAGTTCTTAATTGACATCTTTATTTCTATCTGTAGATCCATATGCAGCTGGAAGAAATAAAGAATCTCAACAACTCTCAAGTTTTACTCGATGGTTACATCTATCACTGTACAATGTCACAACTAGAAGTTGCCACCCAGCCGGTCTGCTGACCTCATCCAGATGTTCACAGGTGTGCGTGTATGTCCCACAGCTGATGTGACCATCTCATCATTTGTGTACACTGCAGTATCAGCTCAAGCGCTCAGGACACCAAGCATTCCACCACCACCAGGATCTGTCATGGAGCCAACAGTCGGGCTGCTAGCTGCATGCCAGTACTATGGGAATAAGGCTGGGCCTGGGGATACACCTGGCAGGAAGCGGCAGACAAAAAGTTGGAACCTAGGTGATGGCTGGTAGAACTAATAAAGCTTTGAAACCCTGCGCCCTGTGAAATGAGACATGGGACCAGCACACAGGCACTGCTCACAGGCAGACAGGACTGAGAAGCATGGCTCCTGGCCAAGAGCCCTGGCCCAGTCCTTCTCCAGCCAGCTTCCTTTCATTGGCCCTGGTGGCCCTCCAGGCTCACCTTGCTCTCAGATGCTCTTTGACCACACGTGGCTGCTGCATCATGCCATCTAGGTACCTGCTCGGAGGCCAACCCTTAAAAGGGAGTGTACAGTTTGGTTTTGTTGCTTTTTTCTTTCTTCTATGTCAGGTATCATCAGCTTGCCTTTTCAAAGAAGTTAGTTGTTTTTGTTTTAAGATTTTATTTATTTATTATGTATACAGTGCTCTGTCTGCATGCATACCTGCAGGCCAGAAGAAGGTGCCAGTTCTTGTTACAGATGGTTGTGAGCCACCATGTGGTTGCTGGGAATTGAACTCAGGACCTCTGGAAGAACAGCCAGTGCTCTTAACCACTGAGCCATCTTTCCAGTCCAAGAAGTTAGTTTTTAAAACAACCAAATTCATTAAAACCTAGGCACCTGGGACTGGAGCCATGACTCAACAGTTAAGAGCACTGGCTATTCTTGCAGAGGACCTGGGTTCAACCCCTAGCACCACACAGTGTCTCACAACCATGCTTAACTCCAGTTCCAGGGGATCCAACAACTCTGAGCCTCCACAGGCACCAGACATGTCTGCACATGGCGAACAAATACACATACAGGCAAAACACCCATACACAAAATATTAAGTTTAAAAATTCAGCCGGGCGGTGGTGGCGCACACCTTTAATCCCAGTACTCGGGAGGCAGAGCCAGGCGGATCTCTGTGAGTTCAAGGCCAGCCTGGACTACCAAGTGAGTTCCAGGAAAGGCGCAAAGCTACACAGAGAAATCCTGTCTTGAAAAACAAAACAAAACAAAACAAAAAAAAAATTCAAACCAAACGAAAAGCCCAGATGACTTTGGGGAACCACCCAGAGGCCCACGTACTGCACACATGGCTACAGGCTGCTCCATGCGGGCCATCTGAATGGGGTTTGTAAGTAAAGTTCTCCTTTACTACCCTGAGCGCCCCTTCACATGGCTTGGGCAGGGCTGTAAGCTCAGGGCTGTCAGCCCAAGTCAGCTGCCCTGCAACCTTGCATGTCAGGGTTTTGTTTTGTTTGAGAGGGTCTCTCTATGTAGCCCTAGCCACCCTGGAACTCTCTATATAAACCAAGCTGCCCTCACTCACAGAAATCTGTCTCTGCCTCCCAGATGGGATTAAAGGTGTATGCCACCGTGCCCAACTACAGTCAACCTCTTAAGGTGAAGCACGTGGGTCCCAACAGTACCCCACTCCAGTGTCCTCAGAGGCTTTTTGAAAGAAGGCAGTGTAACTGCCTACTCAAAGCAGTGTTTTCAGATGAAAACATCAGCAGAATCTAACATCTGTATGCAGCTGAACTTAAAATTTAAGCTTAACCGGGGCTGGGGTGGGTAAAGCACATGCTGTGCACCCACAAGGACTTGCGGCCAGTTGCCTAGGGCCCATGTAAAAGAGACACGTCTTGTGAGGATAAGGAGTGATGGAGGAACACATGTGGAGAGATGCTGGGGGACAATCTGAGAAACACGGCTCTCTCGAGCAGTTTCGAGGCTGAGCAGCTGCACTCAGGAGAGCACGTATATAGTGCCTTACATGGACAGAATCCCTCATACACAGCAACTCTCCCTCCCACTGACCCTCCTAGATGCTACCCAGAATCCCACTGGGACCAAAACTCTAGTCATGGTAGGGCCTCTCTGGTTTGTTTGGGTTCTAGCTCTAAGAAGCTAGAACCATAATGTCTCAAATCTAGAAATCATGTCCCAAATCTAGGAATCAGCAAGAACACCGTGGAACTTTGCTGAGGATCAGCAGCTGTATGTCAGTGGCCTCGCTCAGCACCAGCTCCACTAGTCATCAGAGGCACAACCCCATCTTCATATCACATGCCTACATGTGGTCCGACCTGCCAGGGTCTCATTCTGCTTCTGTTGCCTTCCAATGTCAACAAGCACTATGACATATGACAAGGTAGGTTACAGGTGAGCTCAGTGGATGCTTGGGGGTCTGATCTGGTATCTGCGCAATGAATTTTGGTTCTGCAGCAAGCAGAGTGGGGAGGGGACTGCTTTGCTGGGGACAAATAAGCAAGGGGAAGTGGCCTTGTGTGAGGAAGGAAGGTCTGTCGTGCTGGGAGGAGAGCCTGCATGGCAGGTCTGGGCGGGTGGAGCTGAGAGCACAGCCAGATGAGTGGGAGCACCTCTACCAGGCCTGAGCACCGTCTAAGTTTAGGCTGACTCCCAAAGGCCACAAGGAGCTTGAGGTCTGTCAGACAGGTCTGTGGGCAGTGATGGCCAAGAATGACAAGGGAATAGAGCAGTTATTAAAAGGTAAATATCAAAACCACTGAATTTTTTTTTTTAAAATCAAACACTTTATTTCCACATAACAAGCGCAAAAAACTCCCAAACACTTTTAACAATACAATTAACGAAGTTATGAAGTCAGTTATATACTACTCAAAGCCCCAAAAGGTCACTCAGCTTAACGTTCCAAATATCTCCACACATGGTTTTTCAAAGCTACCTTTGGTTTTTGGAAAAACCAGTATGGACGTCAATACACACCGAACGCATTGAACATTTGCTTAGGTTACGGTGTCCGCCATTAGCTTACAGCAGGCAAGCTGGAGCGTGATCTGAAGTCATCCACTGGAATAGACCCAGTTCTGCCCTTGAGCTCCCGCAGTGAGGAGCAGGGGCACGGCGGTGGCATCCCCACTGTGTGAGAGGTATGAGAGGTTAACACTAGGAGGCTGTCGAGTCGCTAAGCTTCATGTTCCGAATGGTCCCGCTGAGGCTTGAGATGGGCACAGGTGGTGGGGAAGAGGTGAAGCCACAGAAGAGCTTTGAGCAACAAGATCCCAAAGATGCTCGGGGGAGGAGGGAGCAAGCTACAGCTTCCACTGTTCTCACATTATCTCAGGGTGATTGTGGAGAAGTTCAGGTAAAACGTTCAAATATTTGCTTAGATTTTTAATCTGCTGCTCTATGAGAGAACCCTCATGTGCAGCAACTCTGTAACTTTCATTATAAAATACAAATAAATTCACAAAAAAGAGACAATTAATGTTGAGCAGCCAAAAAAGTCATGGTTTATTATCTGAAGATTTCATAATTCAAACACAACCAAACTGTACATTTACAATCACATCCTATTTGTAAACAGTTAAAAGCCACTGACCTCTTTTGCATCTTAGGACACAAACAGTTAGAATCAAGGCAATGAAATGATGGCATATTCTGTACTGTTAAAAGTTTACCCTTGTTTAGTCTCTCTTCTTTGACTAAGCAAGCATTATAATACCATTTGTGGGCAAAGAAACAGGAACTGGGAGGAAAGAAATTTTAAAATGGTGTAACTCGTTAGTTTGCAACAACATTTAAAATTTTTTATACAACAAACAACTCTGTAAGCCCAATGTCTTGGTTACAGTGTGCATAGTTACTGATCTCGGCTTTAAGGTACAACAGTTAAACATGAACACGGTCACAAGAGAGCAGAGACATTAGAGCCACTGATGGGGTTACAAAAAGTCACCTAGCGATTATCAGCAAACCATCATCACTCACTAATAAGGGACAGCATCTGAAAGCAGACGGCAACTCCAGCTCAAAGCGGTTTGTTTTCTTTTTTTTTTCTTTTTCTTCTTTTGGCAGAGAAAATTCTTGAACAGAGCAATACGTAATATCAGTGCTAAAAGTCGGGGTTTTCTTTTTTCCTATAAGAAACTACAAGATTTTTGACGGGGAACTGGTTTCCTGAGAACCATGCTCTTTGATTTAGGACAGGGATAGAAAACAGAAGAACATGGCCAAATGCTGCTCTTTTTCCCAGAGATAGAAAGCGTCTTTTAAACCACCCTCCTCTTCTTTTTTTTTTTTTTTTGTCTTTTAAATTTTTTTTAAATGATGGAAGAGTAAACATTTTTTTTTTCTCAAAAAACAAACAAAAAATCTGTAAACAAGAAGGTTCACCGTGGGAACCTTCAAAACAACATGGAAAGCCTGTTCAAAGTGCAGGGCCCGTCCTGGGCAGCAGGCGGGCTGCAGGTCACAGCGGTGGCCACAGTTTCTCAAACTGTAGAGCGAAAATTCTTTAGTTTTACAACATGAAAAAACTGGTGCAATACTTTCATTAAGAATCCTACGTCAGTATCTTCACTTGATCTTCTAAACTCCACGATACCACAATAAGGTAGGCAACATGAGGCATAGTAGAGCGCGCTCGCCTTAAGAACATCCTTGAGTAAACATTTACACTGGAACAGCTGCCCCCCCCCATATTGCCGATTAGACGGAGAGAACATCACTCAGTGCAAAGGTAAAAGCTCATACATCAGCCCAAAAAACGGTTTTGCAAAAAAAAAAATAAAAAATAAAAAAAAAATAAAAATAAAAGGTGGGGTTGGGGGTGGAAATGAAGGAAAGAAGGAATCCGAAGGCTAAACATGATGAATACACAAGTGAGCTCATTCCACACGGTTAGCTGTATGGCGCTATTTGGGAGTGTAAATAGATAGATACCCTTTCACATTATAATATTGGCCTGCATGATTCAAGTATTCAAACTGATATGTTCTGGGGAAAACAAAGTGGAAAATGTGCAGAAAAATAGCTGTTCCCACAGGTGGCCCTGGCTGCAGGCGGCGAGCCCAACTTAGTGCTCCTTTCCTTCTTATCTTGAGGTCACAGTTTGCGTCTATACCTATGCGGTTACATGGACTCTCCACCCCCACCCAGGTGGTCAACAGAAAGAAAAGCATTAATGGGGGATGGGCTGCTAATTCCCCGGGGGTCGCTGCTGCTTGGGGGACCCCACAGGCTTGTGGAATAATGTGGGGTCCCCCAGAGGGAAGTGCCGTGAAGGTCTCCACAGTTAGTTCCCGACAGCCCAGCACCATTCCAGTGATTGAGATCGGTCCGGCTGGAGAATGAGTGGGAACAGTCGAGGGAGCCCAGCCGGCTCTGGCTGGACCCAAGAGACTGCCAGCCAGGAGAAGGGGTCAGAGACTGACTTTGTGCAAAGAAGCGACTGATCTCCTCTTCACTGGCAAACTCAGCGAGAATAGTAGTGTTCCCCAGCACACACCTAGGGGAGAGGGCACAACATGAGAAGGTCTTCTGGCTGCTGCACGGCTTCACAAGCTCAATTAGCAGCGGGGTCTGCTCTAAGGAAAAACCAAGGAGGCGCAGAAGGAGCCTGGACTCCCCCACGCTCACAGTGAGCATCCCAGAAAGAGTCATGGGGTGTCTAGACCAGGTCTGTTTCCTGCAGGCAACACAAGCAGTTCTCCATTTATATAATATAAAATTTATAAAATATAAAAGTTTTTATTTATCTGGGGGTCTTGTACTTCCTGGACTGGCCTCCAACTCCTGGGCTCGGATGATCCCTCCTCCTAAGGCTCTCCAGGGCCACCAGGTCTCTCCAGGGGTCCTGGGCTGGGCTTCTCCTCACGGCTCCCCAGACCTTCCCCAACAGGAGTCTTGGGCAACTTACATGTGCAGAGACTTTTGTGCCTTCACTACCTCTTCTTTTGAACTGTAACGGACCAGAGCATTTCCATGTGGGAGGTTCAGATGGAATGTAATCAGTGGGCCATGCTGCATGCACAGGGTGCGCAGAGTTGAGCCATCAATCTAGACAGAGCAGGCTGAGGTTAGGGGATCCATTGTAAGGGCCATCAGGAGGTACCCCTGGTCCTTCTCATGCCAGGTTCAGTATTCCTTTCTTACGTCCACTGGGCCTAGAGCTATGTGATGAGCCACCACACGTGGTATGGTTTCGGTTCTTTTCTTCCCCTGCTCCAGAACAGGACCTGAAGGCACTGCTCTCTAGGGGAGTGGGAGGTAGCCCAGGGGCTAAGAAAATGCTCAGATATAAAAGGGCAGGCCAAGGTTTTTTGAGGTGCAGCACAGCCCACAGACACATGCCTGCAAACCCCATGCCAACACTACAGTCTGCATTGGGTGAGATGGAGGCACCTGCGTTTTTGTGGCTCCCCTCAATATAACAGCACAAGGACCATTGGATCAGACCTAAGGCAACTGAGTATCACCCTCCTCTGGTAGCCTTGAGGACCACTGGCGGACTGTCTTGGAACAGCAGTGCTCCCACGCTCCCTTGCCCACCGTGCCCACTGTGCACATGGAGCGGGCGCCTCCTTACCTGAGGTGTGAGGTTTTTCAGAACAAGCCAATTCGTTATTCTCCCTGAGCTGCCCTCGCCCCAGCTGGACCCTAGACAAAGACAGGGACAGTCAGCGCGTCCTATCACTGTGACCTGAGGGACTGTTCAGGACACAGTCCAGTCAAATGACAGTGAACTCCAGTCCTCAGGAATCAAGACCCCCACCTCTTTTGCCTACTTTCCCCTAGTGTAACAAATAGGCCTGGGGTATCAGTTCACTCCAGCCTGGACCAGGCGCCGACCCCTGCTGCGGGTGGCTCTCTCCGGGAGGCAGAAAAGCCACAACGCTCCACCTCTCCAGCATCATTTCTTCTAAATGTTGCTCCTGGGGCAGGCCTCAGGGAAGCTTCCCTGCATGTACCCTAAGATATGAAGTGAAGCTTTAGGGGGACTGAACCGTTTGCAGCACCCAGACATCCTTGGATTTTGTCTGGGCTACCATGTGCGCCCCCCATCTAGCCTTCCTGCATGGCCCCATGGCAATCACTTCTCTTCTATCAGGAACCACCTGCCCGCCCCCGTGACTACTTACAGGTATTTCACAACTATGTGACTGTAGTTTTCCTGGGATAATCTGACCTACGTCTATTTGAGCTTAAGGATCAATAGCACGCCCTTTCACTCTCAAATGTCTGCTTAAACAGTAAACTTCACGGTCATTCTTGGGATAGGCCAAGCACTACCCAAACAAACCCACTCTCCAAGGCTCAGCTGGGCTGCCCTCCACATAGTCTCTCCAACAGGCTTGCAGCCTGCCGTGAGCAGGAAACCAACCGACTTTTAATAAGATGCCTTCCCAAGAACTTCTGAGAAAAGATGACGACCTACTAACAGGACTGCTGACTGAAGTATCTGTGGGTAAGCATTCTTAGTTATTTGGACAGGATCTCACGTACAGATGATATCAACCTCCTCACCCTTACTGCTCCTACTCTCACTCCCCTTGTGCTAAGATTTCAGGCATGCACCACCACACAAGTTTGGGTAAACATTCTTAAGGAAACCAGTCAAGACTCCTCAAGACAAGAAAATTGTAAAATGTGGCAATGAACTAGGAATCCTGATCAAGCTCACCCCACCTTTGCAGAGTGTGACCTCCCAGCTGACAGTGTTGGCCATGTTAAACGGAACAGCTGGCACTAGTCAGCCAGCACTCAGCAAACAGCCCGTAATCAAGCACACAGCTACTGTGTCCTACCTGGGGTGTATCTGGCATCAGAATTTCCCCATCCTCCACCTACACGAAGGGGAGAATTATCCCACGTAGACAAGGGTGGCTTCTGACCAGTCAGCCCTGGAGGTGGGCGGGATGGAGCAGTGATGTTTTTAGGTGGCAAAGGGACTTTCCACAGCTCATGAGCCAGAGAGGTGTTTGTAACTGAACCAGGAGACCACGTCAATTTGGAATCACTATTTCTGGCTATTCAAAGGAGAAAGGGGAAAAAAGAAAATAAGAAAAATTGAAGAAGGTGGAATAATGTCAGAAAAAGAAAATTTATACAATAAAATCCACTGTCCCATGAAAGGTGAGTCAAACAAATGGAAACTTTAAAAAAAAAAAAAACCACACAAAAAACCACCTAAATGCAACTAAAGGCCTAAAGGAAAAAAACCAAAAGCCTCCCTCAGGACCTATACGCCCTCATCTGTTACTGTCTCAAGACTGTGCAAGCACAGAACTGCTCTCTGAGGCCACAACACAGACTATAAGAGTCCATACCTGTGGACTCCTAGGCCAACTGGGCTACTCCAAAGAGAGACAAGGCAGCAGATAAATTTTACGGTCATCATTTCCTCATGAAGTTTGAAAAGCTATAGCAGTTACCCCAATTCAGGAAGGTGAACTGGCAAGCGCTCACTGGCTGCTTGTGGGGGGCTAGGCTGTTAATGTCCTATCCTGACAACAGAGCCAAGATCAGAAAGGTAAGTGATCTGCACAGCTAGGATGCAAACGTAGGCCTTCTCTAGCTTAAAAACAGCGGAGTGAGAAGGGGCAATGGATTCTTGCCCACTCTTGCTGGCTCAGAGCAGTGCTAACGGGGTGGGGGTGCAGTGATGGAGCAGAGATAACTGTGCCAAAACAACACTAAAAGACATGGGGAGAGAAAGGAGTAGGAAACTCTTCATCAACTGTTGAGCATTCACACCTGAGTTATTACGAAGTGCATGGCCATTAGGCCAAGGCTCCTCCAAGCATGGCTGCAGGAGGCCTGACCACAGCACAAGTTTACTTGAGCAGCAACAGATGCTTACTGAAAACCCAGGGCCACAGCCCCCTAGCTCACTGCAGAGGCCTGACTGTCCAGGGCACACTCACTCTGGCAGTTTATAAATTCCTATTTTCTGCATTTTGCACAATTATCAGTCTGTGAAGGATTAAAAATTAAATAAATGAAAGCAGATGCTTTGGATTAAGCTGTACTTTATCACAGAGATGTGTGGCAGATGTAAAGTGTTTTACATGACTGCCGAACAGCAAATTTAAAAGGGGGAAAATGATGTTTGCAACACTTCCCTTGGATCACAAACAACCCCCAGCCCCTTGAAAAGGCAACAGAGGAAAAGCAACAACCAGGCTGCTCCTGAGAGGCCCACCTGAAGTGCTTTGTGCTGTACTGCTGAGGGGAACATTGTAGTTGGAGGCACGAATGGATGACCAGGCACTAGTTGAAGGCAGCGTGGTGTTCAAGGATGAGGATGACCCTGCAGAAGAGAGTCCAGTTAG